TGTGTGTGTGTGTGTGTGTGTGTGTGTGTGTCCATGCATCTGTCTATCTGTCTGTGGGTGTGTGTGCATGCATCCATGTTTGTGTGGGTGTGTGTTTACGCGTCTATGTAAGTGTATGTGCATCCGTGCATCCATGTGTGTGTGAATCTATGTGTCCGTGTGTGTGTGTGCGTCCATGCGTCTGTATGCGTGTGTGTGTCCTTGGATTCTTGCATCCGTGTATATGTGGAGGAGGGGACAGGCGTCTCTGATAGGTTGATGTTCCACCTTGAGCAGCAGCTGCTGGATCTCTCACACACACACACACACACACACACACGCTTGTGAACTGTGATGCCTCTTTCTGTCCCGCTGCTCTTTCACTGCTCTCTAATTTCCTGTGTGTTCATTTCCTGAGCTGATCCCCATCCTCATATGCAGCCGTATGTTTACTGGTCACTGCTCATTGTTCGCACACCAATGACTGGGTTTAACGCATGATAAAGGGTGTGATATTGTTATTATTAGTTATTGTTATCATTGCATGACTCTCTAGAAGGGATGGCACAGTGGCTCAGTGGTAAGCACTGTCGCCTTAGCTAGAAGGTTGCTGGTTCGACTCCTAGTTGTGTCAGTCACACCAGGATGCTATTAGCTCATGTTTTCCGTGGACGTTTAATGCCTCGTGACTATTAAACGTCACTTTTAAAGGCGTAATAGCCTCATTTTTAAAGAAATGCCTCATGCTCGTTTTTTTTGTTTTGACGCGGCTCATCAAAACTTTCTCCACCAATCAGATTGGCACTTTTGTTCACTTAGGCGGAGCTGCTGAAGTTACAGTAAACAGCACTTGGAGGTGCTCAAGCGCAAAACTGTCAATGCAAGCGCACATTGAAGAAGATGCCCAGAGACGATATAAACGTGGAGCGTCTTCCAGTCTTATATAACAACATCTGCTGATAAACCTGTTGTTATTCTGCTGTAATAACCGGCTGGACCTACATTATCCCTTACTTATTTAAATGAACATACTAATAGTTTTACAAGTGGATATGCTTTTTGTGTAAATAAGCTTGTAAAAATAATATTTGGATCATGTATAACATTTCGAGGTTGGATTTTGTGTAGTTTTCGACCTAGGCTACACTTATTTCCAAATCCAGTAAAGTGAAATATCATTGAAATATAAAATCATTGGTTTTGATATTAATATATTTTGAAGTGTAATATGTATGACTCTTCAACGCAAAGCTTCTGATTTTATTTACTTAAGGCCCGTTCACACTGGGACGCTTTAACTTACGTTTTCCGTGGACGTTGAACGCCTCGTGACTACATGAAGGGCGTCAATGTAATTGTGCACACCGACGCTCAAAACGGCAGGCGTAAAAGCATCATTTTTAAAGAAACGCCTCAGGTTCGTTTTTTTGTTTTCACCACCTCGTCAAAACGTTCTCCACCAATCAGATTGCCGCTTTTGTTCACGTGGGCGAAGCTGCTGAAGTCACAGTCAACAGCACTTGGAGGCGCTCAAGCACAAAACTGTCAATGCAATCGCACATTGAAGATGCCCAGAGACGATATAAACGTGGAGCGTCTTCCAGTCTTATATAACAACAGCTGCTGATAAACCTGTTGTTATTCTGCTGTAATAACCGGCTGGACCTACATTATCCATTACTTATTTAAATGAACATACTAATAGTCTTACAAGTGGATATGCTTTTTGTATTATTCGTATAATAATATTTGGATCATGTCGAACATTTCGAGGTTGGATTTTGTGTATTTTTTTTTTACCTAGGCTACACTAGACGATTAGACGAGACGATATGAACGTGGAACCGAGGGTATATGCAGAGCTAGTGTTTCTTCTCATACTGATAAACTTTCGGTGAAGCGGTTAATGTGACTTTTCCATTTTATACGGTTTCTTTTACAGCATCGATGTTGTAATGTAGTTAAAATACAATCCGTTAAACAGACTTTGGCATTCATTTAGTTGCTCAAGTGTAAAACGAGACAAAAAGCCGTTTACTCGCAAATGCCCAAATGGCTAGCGCAGAAGCTACATTGAATATACAGAGGTAAAATAAATGCTCATATTATAAAGACATGGCGGGGGAAATGTAATTTAATGCAGTGCTTCTTGTACAATCTGAGACCCAGTTTATGTCAGATATCACTCAGCCAGTGGAGATCGCTGAATTTTAAAGAAAACAGTTACACTTAAATGTGCAGATTTTGCAATGGCATACAGTTCACCAGAAGCGCTTAACCCAGGTAACTGATATATTAAAAGTCCTTTAGCGTACTTCAGCATATACCCTATTGCGCTGGTGAACAATAATCATTTCTTCATCGCTAGAGCAGGAGCTGCTACTTGAACCATTCATGCTTGTTTGAATCGCCAACAAGCGTGTCAACCTTCACATTTTCCGTGGCCGTTTAACGCCTCGTGACTAAATAAAGGGCGGCAATGTGATCGTGCACACCAACGCGCAAAATGCCTGGTGTAAAACCCTTAATTTTAAAGAAACTCCTCATGTTCGCTTTTTTGTTTTGACATGCCATGTCAAAACCTTCTCCACCAATCAGAGCTGCTGGAGTGTTCTTTCTGTCTTTTTTTTTCTGTGTTACAAGCGGGTGTCAGAAGCTGAAAGTTGTGTAGCGCCATCTAGCGTCAAGGTTTTGCGTACTCTTCTGCTCAAGGCCAGTAAAAATTGCTTGGGTTTGAATCCAGAAAACCATCCCAAAAAACGATGACGATAAACGTAACGCGCCCCGGTGTGTATGAGTGTAAGGGCGTACTTAAGCCAGTTGCCTTGAACTGGGCCAAAGCATGCTTATCCCCCCTCCCGTCTCCCCCGACGGCCCACACTCACATTGCATTCGGGCCTGGGCACGATTACGTCATCGATGATGCGCTGTTCAGTATGTGCTCTCGGTCAGCAAAGTAGAGATTTCTTTAGTTTTATCCAACCCAAGCTCATTCTGGAAACGTAGCCTCTTCCATCGGGGCCAGGGTCGACCAACTGAACCATGCCTGAGCCTGATTCAGAGCACTCACACTTCTCAAACGATCCAGGAAACGGAAATAGTGCAGTGGTTCTCAAACTTCTTCCACCAATTACCACCTCAGAAAAAAATTGTCTCTCCAAGTACCACCATAATCACCGGTATTGAAATAAAGTAGCGTAGTTGGCCAAATTAAGCAGCTACAGCACTGCACAGATCGAAAATGAGGCAGAGTCATATTCATTCAACGAAATTATATTCCATACAAAATATGAAATCGATCAGTCGGTTCTTGTCACGTGATTTGCAGTGCGGCATTCTGAAAAGTAAGGATGTTTTCAACTGGGGACACCTGGAAGACAAAAGCGCGTCGTGCTGCAGTACTCATTTAGCTAGCCTGTGGGTTAAATTTTGGCACTCAAGTGACCGAGATGTAACGAGAATATGTTAAATTTTTTAAATAAAAGATTTTTCAAAATAAATGATCGTTCAGTTCAGACTCAGATTATAAATAAAACAGAAATAATTAATGATTTTTTGTGCGACTCTGTACCAATTGATCTATAGACCGGATTTGAGACCACTGCTCTAGCAAGTATCTGCTCTGCAAGCACCACGCACTTCTCTCTTTAGTTCTGCGCCAATAAAATTGATTTTTAGCAGCTGATGACGCGATGTACTAAAGTAAACATTTTATGCGTTGTTAGTGTTATTGTACGAATCAAATTCATTACTGAGTGATTCCTTCGCGTACCACTAGAAGTAAGCCCGCGTGCCACTAGTGGTACACGTACCACAGTTTGAGAACCACTTGCATAGTGTGAGTGCACCCTAAGAATACTAATAGTACTAATGCTAATATTATTTAATGTTTAAAAAAATAGCGCTTATTTTTATTATTATAATCAGTTTTCGATAAAGCTGCTTATATAAAACTGCCCCTTTATATTTCTGAGGAAAACACTTGGATTGCATGAATAAGAAATTGTAAGGAACAGTATGAAGTTTAAATATAGTATTTTGTATAATTATAAATCTCTATTATTTTGCTTTTTAATCAATATAATGTGTCTTTGCTAAATGAAACAATACATTTCTTAAAAATCTTAAAATAAAAAAATAATAATAATAATCTGACTCGCCCCAAGTTTTTGAATGACATATGCTCTGTATTTTCTTCATTACAAACCCTGAAAGCGTGTATTTAAATGTATTGCACTGTGATATATCTATGAACACAACATAAATATAAAACCTTTCCCTTACAAATACTGAAATACGTTTTAATTCATTAAAATCAATAGCATTTCTGTCAGGGAGATTTTAAAAATATAGCTTCCCCCCAAAACAAGTGGGGGGAAGCTATTATATTATTATTATTATAAATTATTATAGTAATATAAATAGATTATTATTATTATTATAGTAATATAAATTAATATAATTTATATTACTAAATTATATTTATTTTTCAATTAACTATATACCCTATTCAATTTAAGTTTATTTGTATAGCACTTTTTACAATAATAAATGTTTTAAGGCATCTGTCCAACCCAATACACCTCTTAAAAATGTTTTCATCTAAAACCATCCAGACTGTGTGTCCATGCACGTCTTTCCTCTTAGTCTTTGTTATAATGACCGCAGTGCTGTGGATGAATCTTTAATGAGTCACGGGTGAACGGCTCCAGTTAAAGCATCTTTTACTCCATAGTAATTCCTCTTGTATCAAACACGCTCCCAGTTTTCTCCTTATAGGGAGCTTTAGTGATCTGCATTGTGCCGGTGGAGGTGACAGCTCTGACATACAGCTGCTATTAGCTCTAATGATTTTTCAGTCAGACTTAAAATAAAGCTACTCTGGCAGTCCCGGGCTTGTCTTTCAGCTTATTGCCTGTCTGCATTGTGTTCTCGATCACAGCTTGATTTAATGTGTGTTTCTGTATTGTTATTGGCAGTGTAAATGATTTCACAATGTTCTTTGTGTGTGTGCTTTGCAGGCAGCAAGACCAAAGACAGCGTTGCAACAGGTAAGGTGATTCTGCAAATTGTCCTTTTAGTCTTGTCTTGTAAATAATGAATACGTCTCATTTAATGTGTGCAGAGGGCATGGCTCACGGCCAGCAAGTGGAAGCGAGACAAATAGATCTGTGCCTAGCTGATATTTCAGAAGGTTATTTGTCTAGGACAGGTGGAAAACTAGTAAAGTCACAGTAGGATTTACTTGCTGGAGCTTGAGGATAAAATGAAGTCTGTAACTCCAGAAACCACTTGTCTAGCAAATAAAACCTGTATATAATGCATTATAAGAGACACACTCCCGTATTAAAATCTAATATATATGGCAATATCCAAAAATTACAAATATGACATATACATATATATATTATTATTATTATTATTAATTATTATATATATATTAGCAATATCACACTCGTAGCAGTCCAATTTGGCAGGCGTGCGTTGGCTCCAGGTTGCAGGCCGAGTGCCTTAGTGTCCCACCAGAGACGATATTCAGCCATATCACACTGCTACGAGTGTGATATTGCATTTATACAACAGTTCGACAGCATAATCGTGTATATAATAATGAAAATCAAACACGGAGAGTCTCCAAAACCCTTTTTTAAGAGGAACTACTTTCTTCCATCATTCATAAACGCCAGCAGATGATGTCAGAACAGCAGAAACTGGTGCTACTTTACACACGTCGCTTTAGAGCTAGTGTTTGAATGATTCTCTAGCGTAATGTCTAAAGTGATGACGACTTTATGATTATAAGGCTGAACGGCATGAAATGGCATCAGTCTACAGAGATTTCCCAGTATTCTCTGTTACAATCACAATAATTAACCCTGAATAAGCCAAAGCGAAGCAAACACTAGCAGATTACTATGGTATAAATACAGCACACAAAAGAGAGCGATCGACGTAGAATGTCACTTACCGGTTCATTATTATGATTTGATCAGCAGGAGTTTGAAATACGTAAAGAGTTTTTCTCCCCTAAAGTCTAATTATGCAGTCTCTGTCGCCATCTTGTGGCAGACAACCATCAATTTCTTTGCTCTGCATGCTGATGGCCACCGATGCAATAAATCTCAGAAATTATAATTGTTTGAGGACAAGCGAGTTCGCCGAAAGGTGCCGAACATCAGCCAGGAAGCCACCTATCAATGCGAATGCTGCGGTAAAGAATGCTTCTCCCGAATTGGTCTCTTCAGCCACCAACAACACTGTCTCAGACAATCAGTCATGACTCAAGAAAAGATCTCACACTCGTAGTAGTGCAATTTGGCTGTATATTGGCACTGGTGGGAGGCGTGCATTGGCTTGAGGCTGCAGGCCGAGTGCCTTAGTGTCCCACCAGAGACGATAATCAGCCATATCGCACTGCTACGAGTGTGATATTGCATTTATACAACAGTTCGACAGCATAATCGTGTATATAATAATGAAAATCAAACACGGAGAGTCTCCAAAACCCTTTTTTAAGAGGAACTACTTTCTTCCATCATTCATAAACGCCTGCAGATGATGTCAGAACAGCAGAAACTGGTGCTACTTTACACACGTCGCTTGTGTTTGAATGATTCTCTAGCGTAATGTCTAAAGTAATGACGAAACAGCTGATTTTGTTCACATTTTATGATTATAAGGCTGAACGGCATGAAATGCCATCAGTCTACAGAGATTTCCCAGTATTTCTCTGTTACAATTACAATAATTAACCCTGAAAAAGCCAAAGCGAAGCAAACACTAGCAGATTACTATGGTATAAATACAGCATACAAAAGAGAGCGATCGACTTAGAATGCCACTTACCAGTTTATTATTATGATTTGATCAGCTGGAGTTTGAAATACGTAAAGAGTTTTTCTCCCCTAAAGTCTAATTATGCAGTCTCTGTCGCCATCTTGTGGCAGACAACCATCAATTTCTTTGCTCTGCATGCTGATGGCCACCGATGCAATAAATCTCAGAAATTATAATTGTCTGAGGACAAGCGAGTTCGCCGAAAGGTGCCGAACGTCAGCCAGGAAGCCACCTATCAATGCGAATGCTGCGGTAAAGAATGCTTCTCCCGAATTGGTCTCTTCAGCCACCAACAACACTGTCTCAGACAATCAGTCATGACTCAAGAAAAGATCTCACACTCGTAGTAGTGCAATTTGGCTGTATATTGGCACTGGTGGGAGGCGTGCATTGGCTTGAGGCTGCAGGCAGAGTGCCTTAGTGTCCCACCAGAGACGATAATCAGCCATATCGCACTGCTACAAGTGTGATATTGCATTTATACAACAGTTCGACAGCATAATCGTGTATATAATAATGAAAATCAAACACGGAGAGTCTCCAAAACCCTTTTTTAAGAGGAACTACTTTCTTCCATCATTCATAAACGCCTGCAGATGATGTCAGAACAGCAGAAACTGGTGCTACTTTACACACGTCGCTTTAGAGCTAGTGTTTGAATGATTCTCTAGCGTAATGTCTAAAGTGATAACGAAACAGCTGATTTTGCTCACATTTTATGATTATAAGGCTGAACGGCATGAAATGGCATCAGTCTACAGAGATTTCCCAGTATTTCTCTGTTACAATCACAATAATTAACCCTGAAAAAGCCAAAGCGAAGCAAACACTAGCAGATTACTATGGTATAAATACAGCATACAAAAGAGAGCGATCGACTTAGAATGTCACTTACCAGTTTATTATTATGATTTGATCAGCAGGAGTTTGAAATACGTAAAGAGTTTTTCTCCCCTAAAGTCTAATTATGCAGTCTCTGTCGCCATCTTGTGGCAGACAACCATCAATTTCTTTGCTCTGCATGCTGATGGCCACCGATGCAATAAATCTCAGAAATTATAATTGTCTGAGGACAAGCGAGTTCGCCGAAAGGTGCCGAACATCAGCCAGGAAGCCACCTATCAATGCGAATGCTGCGGTAAAGAATGCCTTTCCCGAATTAGTCTCTTCAGCCACCAACAACACTGTCTCAGACAATCAGTCATGCCTCAAGATAAGATCTAGGACATGTCAGCCATGGTCAACACTGACTGACAGAGGCCTACTACTGCAATCTAAACAACTACATTCTCACCTGAAATAGCCTCAGAAGTACATGATGTTGTCCAACAGCTGCAATATTGGTCAAACTGTAGTGAGTTTATTGACCTGCTGTCATGCTATGTGGGCGGAGTAATACACAAGCATGAAGAGGCTGTACGAGTGCTGATTTTGCAGAATATTGCAAGGCTTTCAGCAAATCAGATTTAAGAACCATACATACACCATATATATTTAGGATGATTCTAAGAGCCCATGCATTTTGGGGCCCCCCAGAGATATTATTAGGGGCCCACGCAACAGACTCAACCTTTGCCCCGCTCTTCACTTTAGTCCGTAACTCCAGCACAATTTCACGGCAATTCGTAAATTTTTGATTTAGTGGCTAATTTGTATGAATTCGTACGATCTAATTTAGTATGATTTGCTCATCCCCCAAAGATGGTTGGAGTTAGGGGTCGGGTTGGGTGCCACGCCTCCTTTTTAAAATCGTACATTTTCGTATGACTGAACTCATACGAAATCGTAAGAGTTAGCCACTAAACTGACAAAACGTAAAATACTTACGCTTCCTCGTGAGATCAGGGTTACTGATATACATCCCACCACTCTTCCTTTTCATCCGCAACACACTCCCAACCCCCAACTCACACGCCCCGTTTTGTTCTACTCTTCTGTCCACGACCCCCCCTCTGCAATTCACTTTCGTCTGCGACTCCATCCAACGTCCCCACCCTCTCTCTCCCCAGTCCTCTCTTTTGTCAGCAACACCTAACCCCACCCCCCACTCTTCACTTTCATCCGCGATATGCCAACCAACCCACGCGCCCCCCCGGCCTGCTCTACACTTTTGTCCATGACCGATCCCCAGTTATTAAAATTAATTTCTAATAACAGGTTTTTTTTTTTTTATCTTTGTCATGATGACAGTAAATAATATTTGACTAGATATTCTTCAAGACACTTCTATACAGCTTAAAGTGACATTTAAAGGCTTAACTAGGGTAATTAGGTTAACTAGGCAGGTTAGGGTAATTAGGCAAGTTATTGTATAATGATTGTTTGTTCTGTAGACTATCTAAAAAAAAATTAGCTTAAAAGGGCTTATAATTTTGTCCCAAAAATGTTTTTTAAAAAATTAATAACTGCTTTTATTCTAGCCAAAATAAAACAAATAAGACTTTCTCCAGAAGAAAAAAACATTATCAAACATACTGTAAAAAATGTCATTGCTCTGTTAAAAATCATTTGGGAAATATTTAAAAAAGAAAATAAAAATCAAGAGGGGGCTAATAATTCTGACTTCAACTGTATATATATATATATATATATATATATATATATATATATATATATATATATATATATATATATAATTATAATTATAGGAGCAGGATGGTGTACTATACTATGTAGTATTTTTGCATATACATTAGTTTAAACTAAAAACACTGAAGATCATAGTCCAAAGATTAGCACACCCAAATTTCTATGATGGGGGAAAATAGTAAATAAAATTATAATAAACAGGAAAACCAAGAAAAACATAAAAGATATATAATTTAGTCAATTTTGCAATAGCTGGTTTGAACTGTAATGTATTATCTTTCCGTTTATAAAGTTGTTTGGTGACCAAACTCTTATTTTAATGCACATAACTGATTGATAAAACTACTTTGTTTAAATGATGCACCAAAATTATTGCCTATATTTTCTGAGAAATGCACACAAATATGAATTATCAAAAGAGGGTGCACTCCTTTATGCTGAGCACTATATATATATATATATATATATATATATATATATATATATATATGTGTGTGTGTGTGTGTGTGTGTGTGTGTGTGTGTGTGTGTGTGTGTGTGTGTGTGTGTGTGTGTGTGTGTGAGTGTGTGTGTGTGTGTGTGTGTGTATATATATATATATATATATATATATATATATATATATATATATATATATATATATATATTTATTTTTATAGATGTTACTTGCAATATTAAAGCTGACACTTGTGTGTATTTAATGTCCTTGCAATAAAATATAAATGAATAAATCAAATTTATTTTGAGTTGGGCCTCAAAATGGCACGACTAGTGTTTGGTGTTATCTAGTTAAATCAGCTTGATTTATTACTATTAAAAATGATTGAATTCCACTTTCATTAAAGAAAATCTGATTACTGTGGTTGTGTGATTATTGCAGTGAATGACAATAACCTTCATTTCCCCGTTGACATCTTAGTGTGCATCTGTGTGCGTGTGTGTGTGTACTTAAACACAAGGGTGTATGTAAGCATGTGTGCATGTTTGGATGAATGTACTGAATGTACTGCTTATTCTTGTCAATCCAAATAAAAGCATGAACATCTCTGTGTGCGTGTGTGTGTGTGTGTGTGTTAGTGGCTGAGAAGACGAAGGAGCAGGCATCTCAGCTGGGCGGAGCAGTGATGTCTGGAGCCGGAAACATCGCCGCCGCCACCGGCCTGGTGAAGAAGGACGAATTCCCCAGTGACATGAACGTATGTGCTTTTATATAAACAACAAACAGCATTTCATATTCATTCTTTAAAGAAGTCACAGTAGAAATCCACACCTGCTGCCTGGGAGATATGTCTACAGCCTAAAAAGGACTTCTGTTGGTGTGATGAAACGCAGGAGTGAATCATTGGACCTAACCCTCATTGCAGTAAACTATAGATTAAATATCAGGAGTTTGAGTTATGGCACTGTATTAAGTTTATAACATGATTAACACTGAAATTAGCAATTTTATAAACACCATGTCTCATTATTTTCAGCAAAAATATATTTATATTGGAGGTTTGCTACCTAAACACTGATCACAATCATCAGTTTGAGAATCACTGTGTTAGAGCATGCGCCAGGGCGCAGATCTTATTTTTCTGTCCTTAAAATAGCAAAAGTGGATTCGGACACGCCGTTAAAATAGAGCCCTTAATGTCACTTTTTTAAGTGGAAGAAAAAACATTTTCTTGTGTGTCTATTTAAATGCAAATGAGCAGCTGCTCCCCCTCCCCCTATCTATAAGAGGGCGGAGCCTTTACAGCTTGTGCCTCAGTTACTCTGCAAACTTTATAAAGCACTGATAAAGGGACATTAAGCACACACTCAGTGTCTGTCAGATGACGCAAATCATAAATATAGTTCAATAAATTCCATCCTCAGACTTTTTATTTTATGCAGACGGCTGCTCGTTTGATCCGATTGTAAATGTGGCTATTGATTATTTGTCATATTTCAGCATTGTATGATGTAAAGGATGGACAGTAAAGTGAATGCTAGTGGATCTTCATCATGCACGTGTCCATCAGACGTGCTTATTATGGGTTACTGTAAGAGATATACACAAGCTGGAGACGTCACACACACGTCATAACACAAGACACATAATGGAGGGATACTTATCCTAGGGGGAATATAGTATAGTTTAGCTCTCTGTCCTGCCGAGCCCCTCAAACAACTCTCTCTCTCTCTCTCGCGCTCATCAACAAATGTTTCATATGTATTGCCAGAGCATTTGTGATGTTTACGTTTAGCAGAACATACAGTATGAGAACAAATGATACGGGAGTAGAGATTAAAAAAATAATTTACAGTATAAAAACAATCAACATTTTAAAATAAAAACAATAATCATAATTCATTTCTTTCTCTATTAATTTTAGGATTAATTCAAATATATCGCTAAAACATCACATAAGCATTTAATAATAGTCATTTTAGGTAACACTTTACAATAAGGTTCATAAGTTAATGCATTTACTAACATGAACTAAACATGAACAACACATGTACAGCATTTATTATTCATAATTGAGCATTTACTAATGCATTATTAACATCCAAGTCCGTGCTTGTTACCATTAGTTAATGCGCTGGGAGTTAACATGAACTACTGTATTTTCATTAACTAGCCTTGACTAACATGAATAAATACTGTAGTAAATCTATTGTTCATTGTTTGTTCATGTTAGTAAATGCATTAATTAACATTAACTAATGAACCTTATTTTAAAGTGTGACCTCATTTGATAATGCATGTATTTATGCATGATGCAATCAAATCTTAAATAAATGCATACATAAATAAGCAAATGCCTAATATAATGTTTAAAAAGATATTAGGAAATAAATATCTCTTTCACACACACACACACACACACACACACTCTTTCTCTCGACCTTGCCCAAGGTCACAGTACTAGGTTACACAGTACTTACACAGCATGGATTATGGAGGAGAAGCCAGTTATTCCTCAGACTTAGGCAGATTTGCTTCACTTTGAACAAACTGTTGATTTCAGTGTGACGTCTCCACAGTCATTATTCTGCAATCTAACATTACACTATTATACTACAGGGCTGTTGAATGCTTGGTTCTGATTGGCTGATAAACATCCTAAGGCAATGAAGGCGGCACAGCACACGAGCCGCTATTTCACTACTAGGGAGAAATGCTGTAAATATCCATCTCTGCCTCTCTCTTTCTCTCACTTTGGACATTTGACCCTCCGGCCAGTTTGTGAGGCAACTTTTCCTCTCCTCTTGGCTGTTAAAGCGATACTTGTGGATTCAGACATGATCGTTCTCCACTGTTTCTATTATCGTTGACCTTCGTGTATTCTGTACATATAGACTGTAACTGCGGCTGTTCTTCCCGCGTCACTCATTGGTTTTCACTTCTAAAGCTAATCGCAGCCCTTTCTGTTGAGCAGGTGAAGACCATAACCAATCATAGGAGTGTTAGAACTCCTTTGACAGCGCTCAAAAAGCAAGCAAGATAATATTTACATTTAGTTTATTTTGCTCTACATGCTCATGCCGTCTTCTGTGCATGTGTTGGAGTTTTGTTTGATACATTCAGAAAGAGTTTTCTTTGAGCAGGTCAAATTAAAGGTACAGTTCATATAACTTACTGCTGTATTAAAGGTGCAGTAGGTGATCTGCCAAAATGCTAACCGCTTAGCATATTATCTTTGGACGGCGGGGAGGGACTGTGATTCAAAGCCACACCCCTGATATCGCAAGCGCGCGCACCGCGTCACAACAGCCGACAGACAACCCACTAGTTCATGTCGTTCACCAGTTAGTTAGTGCCAGCGCCGTGCAAGAATTACATGTATTACTTTGCCACACTTGCATGCTATTTCAGAGCGAATATTCAGAGTAACGTTAGCGGTAAACAGTAGAGGAAGTCTGTCATTGTTCAAAAATGACCCAATGTGAATATAAAAGCAACTTCAGCTCAATAAAGCAGGCTAGGCGGAATAGCGCTATTTACTGGTGTTTTGTTGTTAAACTAGCCTGCAAAAAAATCCAACTTAAACCAGCCTAGGCTGGTTTAAGCTGAATCTTTCAACAGGGTAAATATAAATCTACAATATAGATGCTGTCAAAGAACCTTATGAAACTGAAAATAATCACATCAATCTTTCACCGGGAGATTTCAGTGGCTGAACAACACGTCTGTGCATAGAAAACATTCATAACAGAACATAATCTAACATATAAGCTTAGCCTGACTAAAAGAGTTTCAAAGCAGAACATGACCTGTCTAACAGTAATACTTCAGCCATGGTGTCGTCCTTTCTCCAGCGTGTTAAAGTAACTCCAATACTGATTCAGGATTTTCAAAAGTTTCAATGCAGCATTTGATTTCTTCCGGGTGCGTCTCGTGAGCGCGCAGCCGCTTTAAGAGTGAATTATACCCGCGCCTGGCTTTACAGTAATCGGCCTGAGCTCGGCTGTCCTTCGGCGCCTGAAGTGGATTTTATACTCTTTAAAGTGTGAAGTTAATATATATATATTCAAATTGTATGTATATAATCTGCTTGTAGACTTGCATACCATTAGAAGAATTACCATATCACAAGAACTGGATAAGTTATATAGTTACCAGATTTGGAGTCAAGGGTTAAACTAGGGGGGTCTTGTGTGGTATATGTAGAAATAAGGGAAAAACAGATGACAGAGGTGGAATTTGGGGTCAAGGGTTAAACCAGGAGGGATCTTGTGTGACATATGTATTTAAGCAGGCCAGAAGATGAGTGAGACAGAATTTTTCAGACAGAGATGCTACTGGGGGTCTCCTGAAAGTTCTCCTTTGTTGTCGACAATAAAGTATATTCTTCTGATATTCATAACCTCCAGACTGAGTTTGATTTAGTAAGAGAAAAACCAGAAACCACTACACGCCTCCGGCTCCGACTCGGCATCTGCGAGCGGCCCGCTGCTCACTCGCGCGCATGCGTTTGTGATGCAGGCAGGCACGTGCTAATGGCGGATCTGCGTGAACAGATGCGCAGAAGTCGGAATCTACATTTGCTGACAGACAGTCTGACCTGCCTATCGGAATTAAGGGAGATGACGGTCCGACTCTATTTAATTGGATGAACATTTTTTAGTTTTATGCTTTACCCTGAATATAAAAATACATATAAACACATTTAGATCATTTACTGTAATCATTACTATTGGACTGTGAAGAGACTTTCAACCAGCACAACAACAAATGTTTCTGAAGACAATCACCTACTGCACCTTTAAAGGTCAAAATTGTATTACAAATAGTATATAAATATTAATAGATTTATAGACTTTAATATAAAAAAAATTCTTGTGTTGTAAAGAAAACATCTAATTATATATGGAAAGCGTCGTCAGTGCACCGAGGTTGAACCGAACCACTTTGAACAAACTGTTGATTTCAGTGTGACGTCATTCCAGTATTCTGCAATCTAACATTACAGTATTACACATTATACTACAGGGCTGTTGAATGCTTGGTTCTGATTGGCTGATAAACATTCTAAGGTTCTGAGGCGACAGTGCTAACCATTGAGCCACGGTGATGCCCTGTAATTGATCATTACCGACTTGAAAAGCAATGCTAAAAACAATACCACTGATAGAATTAAAGTAAAAGTGCATTTTTATTTAATAATATATGTACATTAATTCATTCATTCATTTTCTCTTTGGCTAAGTCTCTTTATTAATCTGGGGTCACCACTGCGGAATGAACCGCCAACTTATCCAGCATATGTTTTACACAGCGACGTAGTGGCGCAGTAGGTAGTGCTGTCGCCTCACAGCAAGAAGGTCGCTGGGTCGCTGTTTCGAACTCGGCTCAGTTGACGTTTCTGTGTGGAGTTTGCATGTTCTCCCTGCGTTCGTGTGGGTTTCCTCCGGGTGCTCCGGTTTCCCCCACAGTCCAAAGACATGCGGTACAGGTGAATTGGGTAGGTTAAATTGTCAATAGTGTATGAGTGTGTGTGTGTGTGTGGATGTTTCCCAGAGAGGGGTTGCGGCTGGAAGGGCATCAAAATGTGCTGGATATGTTGGCGGTTCATTCCGCTGTGGCGACGCCAGATTAATAAAGGAACTAAGCCGAAAAGAAAGGAATGAATGTTTTACATAGCGGATGCAACCAATCACAGGGAAACATCCATACACACTCATTCACACACATACACTATGGACAATTTAGCTTGCCCAA